ACCATGTCACAAATTCTATTTTTATTACGTTTTAAATTAGGTTTAAACTCTGTATTTTTGTGCTTACGTAGTATAACAGACATGACAAAAAGCTGTCTTACAGTAAGTACAGAGCATTCCTTAAAAATAAGTTCGGTGCTAAATCTTTGTGATTTACCTAGCATTACCTTTAAGATTGCTCTTTGAGCACGTTCTAAGGGGAATAAAGTTGTTTTTCCAATTCCACCCCATGTTACAATACAGTATTGTAGTAAGCTTTGAGCAAGAGCATAGTAAACACATATCCATGTTTCAATGTCAGCAGAATTCCTCAATTTTCTGAATATCGGTATCAGTTTTCTAATACGGCAGGTTACATTGCTTATATGCTCTGACCAAGATACGCAGTAGTCAACGATAAGTCCGAGGTATCTTATGTTAGTGGAACGAGTAAGTTTTGGGCAGTAAAATTCCGCTGATGGTTGGGTACTGGCACGGTGAGTGAATGTAATATATTTAGTCTTGTTTACATTTAATGTCAATAGATTGCTACTAAGCCACCGCATGACCCTTCCAAGTTGGGATTCATTCCAGTCCTTACCATATACAATTAAAGCCGTATCGTCGGCGTACGAAATGATTTTGCAGTTAGGCAAGGTAAGTGAGTATAAAGGTCAATGTATTGCTGAGTTTTTAATATTGAGTTATCATAAGATGGGCCAATTTCTACATAGTAATTATTAACAATATTGACAGATTTATGAGGATCATCAGTTAGATTTAGTAATTCACATGGAGGGGGTGAATATTGTTTGAGGTTAGTGATCTTATTTATAGTATTCCAAGTACCCTTTGTATTGCGTTTATTTTTACAGAACTCGGCTTTCTCATATGCGGTTTTAAGTTTTTCAACAAATTGTTGCAAAAATTGCGATATCAAATTCAAATTCATTTATTTGCCAGAATGTATGTGTACAATAAAGTATGATCTTAAATTATGAATAATGGCCCATTTACATTCTACCATTTTATATGGTGTGCAAACATTTTAGTATACATGCAAAAAAAATTACAAGTGGGAATTCAATTAAAATGTCACATTGTTTAATGGTTGTTCTTAAGTTTTAATGTCCATACTTTCTTTTTGTTTGTAATTAATTAATTATTAGAAATATATCAATATTACTGACTTCGGATTTATTTTCCACTAAAAGACATAAATTCGTTTAGATCGTAAAAACATTTTTCTTTTAACCATTGTATTAACTTTTTTTTAAACGTGGTTAAAGGTAAAAGTCGATGGGTATTTTGTTATACACCTTTATAGCATTTACGTAAGAGTTCCTTTCACACAATTTGAGCCTGCATTGAGGTAAGTATAATTTATGTTTATTTCTAGGAGCTACATTTCGTTCAATTACATCTATTTGCCTTTCAAATTGTTCAGGATGCTGTTTTACAAATATTCATATTTCTTTAATGTACAAGCATGTTAATGTTAAGATATTGTACTTTTTAAACAAGGGCTTACAGCTATCCGTATACCCTACTCCTTAGATTGCACGCACACATTTTTTTTGTACTCTAAATACTTTTATTATATCTACTGAATTGCCCCATAATAAAAGACCATATGATAGTACTGACGAAACATATCCGTGATATGCACATAGAGCAGCATCAGTTGATACCGTGACTCGTAATCTCTTTATTGCGTAGACAAATCTGTCGAGTTTGTCACAAGCGTAATAGACATGTGTTTTCCAGTCGCAATTTTGATCCAACATTATACCCAGAAATTTAGTACTTACTACTTGTTCGATGATCTTATCATTATATTTAATATTAATATTCAATAGTTTTCTCTGGTATGTCTGAAATTGGATCATTTTAGTTTTTTCCATATTAATCTGTAAATTATTACAATAAAGCCGATCTATTATGTTTTTGATTGCTTTATTTATCTCTGTTTCATATGTATCTGCATTTTCGCATTTCACGATAAGGGTTGTGTCATCAGCAAACAAGATTGTGTTATGGCGAGTGATATTAGGGAGATCATTAATATACATGAGGAATAAGAATGGTCCCAATACACTGCCTTGTGGCACGCCAAAGTCATTTATCTGATTTTCGCTTCTGTAAAACACTTTTTTGTCTTTATTGACCTTAGATATTTCCACACATTGTTGTCTCTCACATAAATAGTTTCTCAACCAGTCGTTAGCTTTACCTCTTATCCCATATTTTTCTAATTTGTGTAAGAGCAATTTATGGTCCACGAAATCGAACGCCTTGCTCATGTCCAGGAAGATTGCCGCAGCTGGAAGGCCATCATTTATAGCCTGGGTGACAATTTTAATCAAATTAAAACATGCTAACGAGGTTGTACTATTCTGTTTAAATCCAAATTGCTCCTCTTTAAGTAAACGATGACTTGTCGTGAATTCTTGAAGCCTTCTCAGCATAATCTTCTCGAATATTTTTGACAATATGGGTATCCGCGTGACTGGCCTATAATTATTCATTTCGTATTTTTCGCCTTTCTTAAAAAGTGGCTTAACGATTGATTTTTTCAATATACTTGGGAAGGTACCTTCTTCAAAAGACATATTAATTAAATAACATAGCGGTTGACATATGTATCGTGCAGATAATTTAATTGCAGTGGTTGTTATGTTATCAAATCCTACTGCGTTCGTATTGTTAAGACTTTTAATTATCCGAAATATTTCCATAGCATCAGTAGGTTTAAGAAATATTGTATGGATATTATTAGTCGTGATAGTTTTGTTTATTTCCTCAACATTATATTTAAAATTATTGTTATTTATCAAGTTTATATAAAAGTGATTAAATATGTCACTTATTTTCTTTGGGTCGTCATATATCCGATTATTTTTTATTATTCTGTCAATTTGTGTTTTCTTATTTTGGTCGTCAATATTTTCATTAATTACCACCCATGTGGCTTTACATTTATTTTTATTATTGTCAATATATATCTTACTTTGTATCTGTCTCGATTTATATATGCACTTTTTAAGTATGGAACTATATGATTTATATTTATCTCGTGTAAGTAATCTGTAATATTGCATTGTTTTTATCGTGCTTTGCTATCTTGTGCAATTTGTCCCTGTGTCTTATACAGTGTACCAATCCTGGAGTTAGCCATGGCTTGATACATCGTTTACGATGAGGAATTTTTATTTTATTGGCATGAGTAGTTATGGCGTCAGTAATAGTTTTAGTTAAAGCGGTAGCTGCTTCATTAGCATCTTTGATATTGTATATAAAGCTAAAATCTGCATCAGATAATTGTTTTAATAGTGATGGATAATCAATTTTGAAAGTTGTGCTTTTAGATGGATACCTTATAGTTTTGCAATCTAAGTGAAACACTATCGGAGCATGATAGTAATAAACGAATTCAGTATATATGTTGCAGAATATCTATCTGATCTCAACATTACATGGTCAATTTCGTTACGAGTGGGATTTAATGAGCTGCTAAATATCCGTGGAGCGCCATTAAATCCAAATATTTACTGCTATTAAGGTCATTATTATTAGGAGAGATATTTATATTGATATCGCCAATCAAGATAACTGATCTTACAGAAGCTAAAGATGCAAGACAGAGATCAAGGCTATCACAAAATTTATTGATATTTTTTTTGTGAAGGTGATCAATATATGGCTAAAATGGCATATTTATTTTCATAATTTACGATAAGACCATTCGCATCAGAAATTAAAGGTTTATGTATACTATGCTTTATTTCAGATTTTATATATATCAGAACACCGTCGTTTTGGTTACTATACTCAGAAGAATAAGACGTATACCCAGCAATTTCAGGTATAACTGATAATTTGCTTAGCCAGCATTCCGTCAGTACAAGGACGTCACATTGAATACAAATTCTTTCCATTAGTATGGCTAGTGTATCAAAATTACAAGTTACGCTGCGTATGTTAGTGTGAAACACTATCAAAGAATTTCTGGTCTGATTAATTTGATTAACTAGGTTTTCTGGTGTGCATATCGTGGAATTGGAAACAAAAACTGAATCAATGTCATTAGAGATATTATCAAGTATAACTATTAATAAGTGAATATTCAAAGGCGCATATCGTTGTTACATTCAATAGATTATTTATTATATGCTTGTATTTTGAAGTCTGTTGAATTACAGTATTAGTGATATAAAGATTTAATGAATTAAGATGTAGGTTAGGTAGTGTAAGTGTGTGAGAGTAGTATATACTATTAAAAATTATACAATTAGGAAAAACAATGATAAATGTTTGTGATAATATGTAGTAAGTTTTTAAATCAACGTAAACAAAAGGATACGAATGACCTAAACATTTAGAGAGTAATAAAATTATGTTAAAAATAATATATAAAAATCGAAGTAAATTGCTTAGTCACGAAGAAGATTGCGACTGCAATTGGATTAATTCATTTTTCGAATCAATCCGATGTGATGGAGCACCTTCTTTTTTACGGATGAAAACTTTCCAGTGAGCAGTCCAGCATTAGGCATAGGAGTTCCTTTTACTAAACTCTCGAGCGAGGTAGTATAGTTTTCTTTTTTTTGCTTTTTGAGTCAGACATTCGGTTACGAAAATTGGCTTTGCGAGTCCTTCAAATTGTATATCTCCTGTGTTTAGTTTTTTAGTTTTATTAATCCGGTTATAATTTTTGACGGATGTTAAAATCCTTTCTTTTAAAATAGCAGTTGTGAAGTCTACTATTATCGGCCTATTCCCCCGTTTATCTTCATTCAAATGAAATACATCGCGAATGAGAGAGTCCTCAATATGGGTGTTAGTAACTAGACCAACTTTTTTTACTATCTGTAACAAGTCATCTTTAGTCTCATTATGTTTGACAGGGATATTTTTTATCTCAATACTTGCCTGTTTTTGAAATCTCTCGAGATTCTCCACTTTTAATTCAAGGGTCTGAATATAGGCTAAATGCGTTTTTCTTTCAGTTACCATTTTACTCAATCGATTTTAATTTCATCATACTGTTTTGAGATAAAGTCCATGGATTTAATAATATCCCCATTTTGATTCTGGATGTCACTAATACTACTTAGAACTTTAACTTGTTGATTTTTGAGGGTATCAAAAGATTGTTTCATATCCGACATAAAAACATATACCTCGTCATCATGTTGGCACTTTCGGCCACGAGGTCTGCTAGCAACATTACTAGAGCTATCATTATCGGTATCTGTGGCCGTAGCAGCAGCTGAACTCTGATTCGTATCCGACTTCGAGTTCTGTTGCATCCTTTTAAGTGGCATTTCTTAAATAATAATAAAAGTAAGTTAGCGGAAGACCTTTTAAGATTGACTGCTCAATTTGCGACTTACTAGGAGCACAGATTTAACTAAGCGATCGTTTCAAGTTACGTAGCAGATTTCTAACTTACGAATCACGTAGCGCGTAGAGATAGTAGGAGCTGTAGCGATAGTGTAGCATCTATGGGGCGTGGCTTCCCGTAGCGGTCGTAGCAGACACATCCAGTTGCAAATTATTCTTTATAAAATTATGTTTTCCTGGTACTATGGCACTTATTTAAAATTTTAACTTATTTCAATCGCTTAAATTAAATGAATATTTAAATAACAAAATACACGTCTACTCAATCACACCCAGGGGGGAAGGGGATAATATAATAGAAATAATATGTTTCGTAAACAAATACAAAACAGTTGCCGAGTGATTCCCTATTAAATTTAAGTATATCTTCGGAATTTAAAGTAAAAACTAGCTGTTACTCGCGGCTTCGTCCGTATGGTCACTGGGAAATGAACTATCCATTGCTTTTTGAATTGAAATGAAACTGAGTTTTATAGATTTGTCGGAAATGCAGCCATTAAAAGGAAACTGAGCAAAATTGTCAGTGAGAGAAGCGCTGTTTTTCTAAGTTGACCCCCGCTACCTGTAACGTTTGCCCTTGCGCTTTATTAATTGTCATTGCGAAACTGAGCTTAATAGGGAACTGCAACCTTTTGAATTGAAAAGGAAGATCTGTGGGAATTATAGGGATCCGTGGTATAATAACATTTTCACCTTTTCCTACGCCTGTCAAAATTGTGGCACCGATTATGTTCCGTCCAAGATGTGTCACACGCAGCCTTGTCCCGTTACATAACCGAGGAGCATCTAAATTTCGCATTAGCATGACTGGGACGCCTAATTTTAATTGAAGCTTATGTGAGGGGACACCTGACAACTCTAGAGAATTTAGAAACTCTGCGGGATATAAAGTGCTCTGTTCTGTGTCCATAACTGTGTCTACTAACAAATACTCTGTTATTTCTCCTGCTACTTCGCTTAATATATATGAATTTATTTTGTTAACACTCTCATTTTTTGGTGCATGAATCGCCCTTTCACATAACCATTTGTCTTCATGCATGTTGTTCGTTAAATCTGAATAAACGCTCGCAATTAATTCGGAATGACTCTGTACTAAATTACAAAAATCTCTCGTCAATTTAACGTAGCCCTTAGCATCCTCCAATTTTAATAGTGTGTCCGTATAGTTTCCAGCATTGATATCATTATACAAATGCACTCTCATATTCTAAACTGAATTTTGTCACCTTGTTCCATAAAATAGACGACTTGAGGCATGCTTTGATTTCATCTGCAGGTGTGCTTTTGAATGACACGTAAAGTTTGGCGAAAGTCACCAGCCAGTAAAACCACCATTCCTCCCGTTACATCGGTATTGCTGCGCAAATCCTGGAGCGTTCGATTTTGTGCTTCTACAGCTTTTTTATGCGACATTGTACTTTCGGCCCACACTAAAAGTTTGCATTGTCGTAGCATGAGATATATGATACCTCGTGCACAATTTTTGCTAAAGTTGCAGATCGGCGATTCTTCCTGGGCTAGATTTAGAGGGAGTTTTAAAACAGAATGTGCAGTGCGGCCCCCGCTTAGCAGCTTGGCGGCTATACCGGAGGAAGCTACGGCCACAGCAATGTTTTTATCTTTCCGTACCTGCGCTAATAATAAATTTAACAAAAATGTCTTCCCAGTTCCTCCAGGGGCTTTTAGATGCCTCAAATCTAATGTAGTGACGGGGGCGATCCTGTACTACATCAGATTTGATAGACCGCAAATCCTCGCTAAAGAACACCGATTCCTTCCAAGGATGATTGGCGAGGCTATTGAAATCAAAAAACATCCTAATTTCAATAGAGAAGATGGCTGGGTGCTACCATCTGCTTGGGATCCTATAATAAATAAAATTAAATCCCAACCCAAGCATACAACTGCAAGACTTCAAGATATCATAAGTTCATACTGCATAGATCGGAACAAAAGTTAAATTTTAATCTATGGTAACCGCGGTTAACTATGACATATGGACGTTGAACATCTCAGTCCCGCCCGTGACCATGAGTGCCGTAAAGCGTTCGAAACGTCGGGTATTTAAAAAGTTAAATATACTTTCCGTAAAAACTAGTATTATTTCAATGTGTAGTGTTCGCGTAAATATAAGAAATCATTATGATAACCCTCTTGTCCTTTGCAATAAATCAATGTCCGGTCCGATCTGCGTGAATGACGACTTTATAATCCTCTTCAGGTAGGTTTTCTAAAGCAGTTTTAAATTTTTTGACTAAAATGTTACGTTCATACAAGAATTTTTGAATTTTGAACACTGTGTCTCTCTCAACTCCCTGGATAAATTGGCGGCGACAATCTACCTCAATTTCTTCGTCATCCATAAAATATACTTGTAAAAATTTATGGTGTTCGTTTTCAGCTGGAAAAAGTGAACCTATTCTATGATAAATTTGCCCTTGCACCGTAAATGTAGGCGAAAATCAAGGCATTATTATTTCCCGGTCAACTCCGAAGGACGTCATTTGAAAGCATGAGTTATATTTCCGGATCCTGTTTGAAAAGCGCCGTGACTCATTAGCATCATATAAAAAGAGAGTTTTCAAAGGTTCTTCTGGTTCCCCAAGTAACGGAAGAGACACTTTGCCATTGGAACGGCACATGCCTGCTGTCTCAACTTTCCATTTTAAAGCGCTGGAAAATCGACACGCCTTGTCCATCAGTCCGATAACAACTAACCTGTGATTTTTATAATCAATCAACGGATCATAATTGAATGCTGCATCATTAAAAACCGACCAATTGTTTCTTAGAAATTTTTGTCGACGTTCAGCTTGGAGCTGTGCATTTGCATCTCTTCGCGCCTGTGTCTGTTCTGGTGTTTCAGATGATGTGTTGAGTTTCATCAGGTGTTTCCGCGGCTCTTAAGGCGGCCTGACGTCCCGCTTGTTCGAATAGCCTTTGCTGACTTTGAGCAGGTGTTTCAGTAGCTCTTAAAGTAGCTTGACGCTCTGCCTGTTCAAGACGCCTTTGCTGACTTTGAGCAGGTGTTTCAGTAGCTCTTAAAGTAGCTTGACGCTCCGGCTGTTCAAGACGCCTTCGCTGACTTTGAGAAGGTGTTTCAGAAGCTCTTAAAGTAGCTTGACGCTCTGCCTGTTCAAGACGCCTTTGCTGACTTTGAGCAGGTGTTTCAGTAGCTCTTAAAGTAGCTTGACGCTCTGCCTGTTCAAGACGCCTTTGCTGATTTTGAGCAGGTGTTTCAGTAGCTCTTAAAGTAGCTTGACGCTCTGCCTGTTCAAGACGCCTTTGCTGACTTTGAGCAGGTGTTTCAGGAGCTCTTAAAGTAGCTTGACGCTCTGCCTGTTCAAGACGCCTTTGCTGACTTTGAGCAGGTGTTTCAGTAGCTCTTAAAGTAGCTTGACGCTCTTCCTGTTCAAGACGCCTTTGCTGATTTTGAGCAGGTGTTGTTTCAGTAGCTCTTAAAGTAGCTTGACGCTCTGCCTGTTCAAGACGCCTTTTCTGACTATGAGCAGGTGTTTCAGTAGCTCTTAAAGTAGCTTGACGCTCTGCCTGTTCAAGACGCCTTTGCTGACTTTGAGCAGGTTTTTCAGTACCTTTTAAAGTAGCTTGACGCTCTGCCTGTTCAAGACGCCTTTGCTGAATTTGAGCAGGTGTTTCAGTAGCTCTTAAAGTAGCTTGACGCTCTGCCTGTTCAAGACGCCTTTGCTGACTTTGAGCAGATGTTTCAGTAGCTCTTAAAGTAGCTTGACGCTCTGCCTGTTCAAGACGCCTTTGCTGACTTTGAGCAGGTGTTTCAGTAGCTCTTAAAGTAGCTTGACGCTCTGCCTGTTCAAGACGCCTTTGCTGACTTTGAGCAGGTGTTTCAGTAGCTCTTAAAGTAGCTTGACGCTCTGCCTGTTCAAGACGCCTTTGCTGACTATGAGCAGGTGTTTCAGTAGCTCTTAAAGTAGCTTGACGCTCTGCCTGTTCAAGACGCCTTTGCTGACTTTGAGCAGGTTTTTCAGTACCTTTTAAAGTAGCTTGACGCTCTGCCTGTTCAAGACGCCTTTGCTGAATTTGAGCAGGTGTTTCAGTAGCTCTTAAAGTAGCTTGACGCTCTGGCTGTTCAAGACGCCTTCGCTGACTTTGAGAAGGTGTTTCAGAAGCTCTTAAAGTAGCTAGCTTGACGCTCTGCCTGTTCAAGACGCCTTTCCTGACTTTGAGAAGGTGTTTCGGAAGCTCTCAAAGCAGCCTGACGCTCTGTCTGTTCAAGACGCATTTGCTGACGTTGAGAAGGTGTCTCGGATGCCCTAAAAGCAGCCTAACGCTCTGCTTGTTCTTGCCTTCTCAGTTCAGCATCTTCTAAAGATTCTAGCGATCGAGCTAATCTTTCCGCTTGTCTTTGAGAAGATACTCTTGAAAGGCTGGACTTACGTTTGCGAGGCATTATGAACTAACAAAAAACCTATTTATAAAAAAACGTTAAAATACCTAAAAGGAATTAAATTTCCTTTTAAATATTTTTTTAAAGCAAATCCAAAATATCTAAAAGGAATAAATATTCCTTTTAAATATTTTTTTAAAATCAAAACAACAAAACCAATTCAAGACACAACACGAATCTGAAAACGATAGCCAAAAAAAATCGAATCAACTTAAACCAAATCACAAAACAAATCGCAGAAAACTGAAATCGAAAGCAGTAGTCAATATAAATATAACCAACGAAAAAAGAAGTAAGTGTATAGGTACCGTATAGACTATCTATACTATTAATATTCCTTTGAAATATTGTTAAACAACCTAAAACAGCGAAAACCAATTCACGATTCTAAATAAACAAAATCCAAAATCAAAGCCAGAGTCTAAATATGTATAAAGGAATACCAACCAAATCATCAAAACCGATCCAAGAAAATACACAAATCCAAAAATGAAAGCCAATATAAATCCATTCAACCTTAACCAAATCACAAAGCAAATAACAAACAACCGAAATCGAAAGCAGGTAGTCGAATAAGCTACGAAATAGAAACAATTTAAGCGTATAGGTACCGTATGCACTATAAGTTGACGCGCGGCTCAACGGCGGGAGTTAAGTACATGTCAGGAAACATTTCGTTACCGCGTTTTAAAAACCTAGTAACGACATCTAGCGGAATCAATTTAAACTATGTATACGTTAGTTTTAATAAGAACTCTCAAAAAATATTTTTCTTATAATTTTGCACAATTTTTCTTATTGTAATACCGATTCATTCATAACCACATATAAGAACTGTATTCATTTCCAATAAATTACTAAGGCTTATTAATAAGGCTTAATAAGAACTGGTGAAAGCGTGACAGGTGGTGATAGTATTTCTGATCCATACTTATAATCACGCCTGTAACCCTTGCGGGGTAGGCAGAGCATCAACGGATTACTTAATATCATCTGGGAGGTTATCGCCTATTCTGTAAATTACAATGCACCAAAACGTTTGAAGAAAATCGGCTGGTGAATTTTATGTTTTTTATCGCTCTTCTCCCGGTCTGCGTGGAAAAATACAGATCCATACATTTTTTATCTTAATTTTGGTAAAAAGACATAATAATCCAGATATTCTGACCTTCTGTGTTCGTCCATCGTACCGTCGTCCGTCTTGTAGAATCACGGTGGCGCCACCTAGCTGAATTTAATTTTGCAACATATTCGATTTTCCCACTGAAATGAGACGTTTTTACGCGGTAAAAAGTAGCCTACTTCACTCTACAGCCACCGAACTATCCCCATACAAAAATTCATGCCATGCCGACGCTCTGTTGCGACGTGAAAGTAGAACAAACTTTTGCAACATATTCTATTTTCCCACGGGAATGAGATGTTCTTCCGCGGAAAAAGTAACCTATGTCACTCTACAGCCACCGAACTATCCCCATACAAAAAATCATGCCATGCCGACGCTCTGTTGCGACGTGAAAGAAGAACAAACAAACAAACAAACAAACACACTTTCGCATTTATAATATTATTAGTATGGATAAAGTACCTATATACGCTTTACTTATGGCCAGAGACCTCTAATTTCTGATAGAACTTTCGAGCAGTAAAGTATAGGCCGCGCTGTCCGAACGCTGTTTATCTATACATATATCTCTACATATAAATAAAATTTAAGTGTCTTTGTGTACTACCAAAATAACTGCCTTCTATTGAACTAAGTAGGTTACTTGCATGCCATTAAAACATGAATCACCTTAAATTTTGTCTCTGTCCGGACGAGAATGTCTAATGGCATTAAGTGCGCCCTTTGTAATCCTTAAGGTGCAATAAAGTGTAAATAATAAAGTGTAAATAAATATAAAAATAATTCTCTTATTTTATTTGAAAAACTTGAAGTTTTCTTCATAGAAATCAAAAAATATATAAAACGAGTGGTCTTTAATGATTATCTAAATAATGCTACATTAAAAGTACACACAAAGGCGAAGCATACAATATAATAAAGTTTTTTGTTAATTATAATGATTTATTAATCAATATGACGAATAATTATGTTTATACTTTAAAATCTTCACCTGACAGAGTAGCAAAGCGTCACTTGTCGCTATTAGTAGAGAGCATTCCAATTTCTGAGGTAGTTTCTCCTTAACCCGGTACAACATTCCGTCCGCGTCGCCTTGTTCATATACTACCACCCTTTCGGGCAGTTGCACCTGGAAATTAACGCCCAAGGTATAAAGGACAATGTACAAAATTGTTCCACGAATAGTTTTGTAAATAGTTACATAAATATATAATATTTGCAATTATTATATTTTGAAATTATAATAATTGCAAATATAATATAGTACTCCTACACTCTCTATATATATATATATAAATTGCCCAGTGTCAGGAATTTGGCGGTGTCTCACCACCGTGCCTCCAGAAAGCATGTAAAGCCGTTGGTCCTGCGCCTGATCTCTCTACTATAATCTTGTCCTGCACAGATGGCCAGTCTCTGTTGAAATTCGCCGCTGTGACCGAAATTCGAGATTTTGGAGAATCTTTAGTCATCATAATATATCATATTCTGCGGAAATCTATATTCAGTGGTCAGCTTACACATTGGTGATTAAATTATGAACGTAATATCAGTTTCATTAATTTATATTTAAGACAACTTTTTCTTTTTGTATACTTACCGCCAACCGATGTTTATATATAGCGATTTTCTGCACCCGGTCATGACATTTTATCCGCACTTTGTTGCCTGTTATGAGATGCTGTATTATCACGTCTGTTATGTTCTCCCGATATGCGTAACGCTCACGATACAATCCGTGAACTGTGCTAAATACTATCTGGTAGCACCACAAAGTGCCGTCTTGACACCCCACTGCCTATAAATTTATATTTATGTACTATAAAGTTTTTTAACATTTTTAAGGATTTGCAATTGATTTATATATCATTATATGTATAATATATCAAATAACATTCACTGATACAGTTTTTACAACTAATTTAGAAGTCAGGGTTCCATTTATTTGTTAAAATATTTGTGGCAAATAAAGAATTTACGAGTATTTATTCATCTATAACAGTGAATGTAATTAAAACTGTTCACCTGGTTAGCGAGACAAGAATATCATAGAAATCATAGTAACTAACCAAGATATTTTGAGATGGCGATGGGGTTATAGCCCAGACCCAGTCTTGGGGAGTGTTAAGCATTGTAATGCCCTCAGTGGTGAGAACAGCCCAGCCTCCCACACCTCCCACGAGCACTAGCGCATCGAAAGTAGATATTGATAATGCTGATATGCCTGAAAAACGAAAAATTGTTAATGAATAATTCTTTGTCGCTACATTTAAATTTTCTAATTTTTAAATAAATTTACTCCTTTATTAAAATTAAATAATATCTGATAATTTATAATTATGTATTTAGTAATAGGTGTGTTTAAAACCAGGTTAGATCAGGGCGCTCGAAGCTAATGGATATAGCACGCGATTCCATTCAAGCAGCCGAAATTTAACTTTCGTTCGCACTACTAAAAATGCTTATCAGACTTTCAAATGCGTCTGTACCATGTTCTCGGCGGTGAAGGAAAATCTATCTAATCCACTAGTCCCTTAGTCTTAAAAACATTTCCCTGTCAGTTAACAAAATGGGAGAATGAGTTCTAATTTGGAAAATTATATCTGTCTGTTGTAAATAAAGAATACATTTACTAAACTATGACCATTTCAAACTTACCTATATTTCTATCTTTTAATACTTGTTGACCCTGTACATTGTAAAATGACAGTGTGTCATTCCAATCACTGACTAGAAGTGTACTTTTTGAGAATGTTACAGCCCAGACTGGTGCTTCGCGCTGTATTATTTGTATTTCATCGCCTACCTGAATATGAAATGAGATTTATTAAGTGCAGGTCAGTGTAATTTGTACACAAAACAAAAAAGTTCAGCACATACCTTATTACGTATAGATACAGCTCCAATAGCCAGCCCTATTGCTAAGTATTGACCATTAGGTGACCAAGCACAACATGTGATACGTCCACCAATTTTATATTTCTGCACAGCCTTTACATCGGCCGACCAGAATGCAAAGTCTGACAATGCGCAAGATGCTAAGTGTAATGACACTGGATTATATGCAAGACATTGAATGGCCTCGCTATGTCTGCAAGGAAAATAACAAAACACATTTGTAAGCAAACAAAAAAATTACCTTTATTACAGCCTATAAAAGTCCACTGCTGAACATAAGTCTCCCCCATAGATAGCCACATAGAGAGAATTTTGCCATAGTTGCTACGCTTGGCTGGCAGGTTGGCAATCGCAGTTTTTATTCTTTTGAATGAAAGAGCAGCCAAAAGTATGCCGCAATAGTCCACCTCGCCGAGAGGCGACCACAAAAAAGTGCGATTCAAACAGCAATCAAAGGCTGCAAGATCAAGCTACGCTTCTGTTGCTAAAGCAGATTTGGGTGTGGCCTTAACGTGTGCACGTTCAGGTCACATATCGAAGGAGGTAGCTGATGACATCCTCGTGGCTATACAGAGGTCTACATGCCGGAAAAATACACTCCTCCCCCTCATAACCTCGTCAGACTAGTGAATTTCTGCGAGGGCCGGAATAAAGGTTGTAATCGGGACGGACTCCAACGCACATCATCCCCTTTGGGGAATCAAAAAACCCAACGAACTAGGTAAGGTGTTAGTTGAATATTTATTTAGCACTAACCTAACCACTTTAAACACAGGTTCTAAACTAACTTTCATAAATAAACGTTGTCGCACAATAATCGACTTTACACTTGCAACAGAAGGAGCAGCTAAACTAATAGCGGGATGGCATGTGTCGAAAAAGGCCTCATGCTCAAACCACAGATGGATCTGCTGCGTACTTACAGGTTGATATCCCTGCTATACCACCATGGGGAAATCCCCGCAAGACGGATGAAACAAAATACCTTAATAGGCTTACGTCTTCGGTCGCGGGTTTTGAGGGGACAAATACCACAGCAGATCAATCGCTCCTAGAAGAACAGATAGCAGCTGTTACTAAATCCATAATGGATAGCTACAGTGAATCATGTCCAGAAATCACTCCCCAAGACATGCTGAGGTGACCCAACATTGGTGAGGTAAAGAGGTAGATAAGAAACGTAAGAAGATAAGAAAAGCCCTAAATAGGACCATGTATACATCAATAGATGAAGACTGGCTACTATACAAGAAAGCTAAGTCTAAATACAAAAAATGTATCAAGTATCGAGGGTGGCGCAAATTCTGTGGTAACATAGAAACCCGTGAACAAGCGAATCGGATAAGGAAAATCCTAGCCAAACAGAACACGCTGGTATCCATCTCTTTAAAGAAACCCGACGGAAGCTACTCAACTTCGCCGGATTAAATCCAATGCATCCTAATTGAAACCCCCTTCCCAGGTTGCTGTGTAGTTGAAAGGGTAACCCGGCATGAAGATATACTAACACCAACGAAAGAAGACTGGAATTTAGCAAAGAGTGGTGACGATGGATAAAATCCATTGGGCCATTAATAGTTTCCTCCCCTATAAGGCGTCAGGACCTGACGGCAAATTCCCGGCACTCCCACAGTGGAGGGTAAAGCCCTAATAGTCAGGCTTGTTACCATAATGAGAGCATGTCTGGCTCTTAAATATGTACCTAGGGGATGGAGGGAAAAGAAAGTCATGTTCATACCCAAACCAGGTAAGAGCAATTATAAACCAGACCCTAAATCCTATAGACCCATTAGCCTCACATCCTTTCTGCTAAAGACGTTGGAGAGGATGTGTGAATGGGAATTGAGGGGATCGGAGCTAATTAACTTCCGCTACACGAAAAACAAACACGCCTAAAGATTACGTAAATCGATAGAATTGGCACTTCACTACGTACTCGTAATAACAAAGTTTGAAGAGGCCATCCAAACAAAGTAATATGTCTAGGCTCCTTCATAGAAATAGAAGGTGTTTTTGACAGAACAAACTTCTCCAGCATAAAAGGTGTACTAAGTAGACATAAAGTTGAACCAGTATTGACTGACTGGATAGTAAAACAATAAAGATTGCTGGTGAATCTCAAGCAATTCAGATCAAAAAAGGCTGCCCGCAAGGTGGGGTTCTTTCACCCCTCCTGTGGAATATGGTCATTAATGAACTCATCAACAAATTAAATTCCAATCATTTCTACACAGTAGGGTATGCAGATGACCTGACAATACTGGTCTCTGGAAAGACAGCAAGCATGGTGTGTGACCTGCGTCCAAGCGACTCTCCATAAAGTGGAGGGATAGTGCAGGGAATATGACCAAACCGTTAATCCAAATAAAACGGTTCTAGTAATATTTACACAAAAGCGAATGTTGAATAACTATCATCTGCCAATTCTTTTCAGCACAAAGCTCCGCCTATCCTCTGAGGTAAAATACTTAGTCTTTCCTTGGACAGTAAACTCAACCGGAATAAACACATAGAAAACACACTTAACAAAGCTAGTATAACTTACTGGCAATGCAGAAACATGATTGGCAAACGATCGGGTTGACGCCAAAAATTATACCGTGGCTGTACAAAACTGTAATTCGGCCTATAATCACATACGGCGTTCTGGTATGGTGGACCAAAACTAATGAAGCCATCACTATAAAAAAGCTTCAGCATTACCAGAGATTGGCATATATGTTTGCCACAGGCTGCATAAGAACTACACCAACAGCAGCTTAAGAGACTATACTGGAGCTAACACTGCTTCATCTACACATACAAAAAGAAGCAACTTTAGCTGGCATTAAACTCAAAACAAAATCTTTTGAGTAAGAGTAGAGTCCCTCATACAGGTATAATTGATAGAATTTACTCCAAAATTCCTATCTTACAAGCCAAGTACGATAAGAATCCAAAACAATTTGTATTCAATAAAAAGTATAACATACAATTAAATAAAACCGACAAGCCTTAGAGTTTTCATGGATGGTTCTAAAACAAATGAAGGTGTAGGATCTGGAACTTTCTCTGAAGACCTTAATATCCACATATGTACACTGCTGGGTAGCCATAACACAGTCTTGCAGGCGGAATATATGGGTATCATCCAAGCGGCCACAGCAATAGATGTTATCACAGGACATGGCTACTTTAACAAACATTAATTTACCATAGATGTTACACATAGCCCCCTGTGCAGGTCATGTATGGGGAGGAAGAAACAGCGGCTCACGTGTTACTGACATGTCCGGAGGTCGTTGCATATAGGGCTAAGCATCTCGGCACGCCGGGATTGCTCCCTGAAGTTGCTTGCAAGGACTATTGAACTTCTTTGGAGAGATTTCATGGCTAGAATATTTACATTATTCCTGCCCACATGCAAAACAATGCGCTTAGACGTAGAGTTGCGGAAAACAGCCCATTATAAACTAAAATATTTTTTTGAGTCGCTATCATGAAGATACTAACTATCACCTGTTTTAATTTCCCTCTGTTGCCTCTTATTACACTCATGGGACGATATGGAGTAGTAGATATTGTTACACCACCACTACTCAGCAATTACACAAAATGTATCTCAGTGGACTGACAGTCAATTACTGTCAAAAATTTCTTCCAAGTATTGCTTCTTTTATTACAACTTACTTATTTCTAAAAAATCGTAAATATATATTAGAAGATGTATTTTAAGCAAAAATGTCATCCCAAATTATTATTATATATATTAAATATTTTAATTGTTGATTGTTGATTTCTCTTTAATTGGTGGTGTCTGGTAGTCACAGATATATTTTGAATATCATGACAGTGAAAATAACTGCGCATTATATAGAGTACAACCTTTTTAATCATAACTAATTTTAAATAATATAAACTAAAAGCTAAATAGCTTGAAAATGGTTTATTTAGCGCCAAGCCACTAAAACATGTGGCTTACAGTTAGTATGGAGTGGTTACATCATCCGAGCAAGTCTCTCAAGTTAACTTTGACATTTTTTACTTACCTATATTATAGGTAAGTAAAAAAGGTCAAAGTTAACTTGAGACTTGAGAAATAAAAAAAATTTTAAACTTACGAGTACTTGAGAATTCCTTCCATCTTAGAGCTCCAAATGATAACATTTTTATCTGCTCCACCACTTGCAAATTTTTTTCCATCACTACAATATGCTACAGCATGAACAGCAGCTTTATGGGCTTGAAGAAGTTGGACTAGGGCTCCGTCACGAGGGTCATACACCATTACCTTCTCACCAGCACCAACAACTAGCTGTGTACCCTCAGGGTTAAAACATATTGCGTGAATGCTGAAAATAATTGAATATTAACTGAACGTCTTATCCTTAACAATACAGGTTATTGAACACTTTATTTCACAACTCTTTAATAAGCCCGCCTTGTTGATCTAGTGGTTGTAGTAGTATGACTGCTGATCATGAAGTCCTTGGTTCAAATCCCAGGTCAGGCCAAAAACAAAACTAATTTTGAGTTTTTCGTCAAGAAAATCTCAGTAGTTGCCCGGAGTCTGGCGTTGTCTCACCCCCACACCTTGGAAAGCACGTAAAGCCATTGGTCCTACGCCTGATCTCTCTCCGGTCGTGTCGGTTTACCGTCCTATCGGATTATGAGAGTGATGGAATAGAGAGTGCACCTGTACTTGTGCATACGCTTGGGCACTATAATCCTGTCCTGCGCCGATGGCTAGCCTCCGCTGAAGCAGGCCGCCGTGGCCGAAATTCGGTCTGGAGTACATTATTATTATTAATAAGCAATTAATTATTATTAGAAACATAATAAACAGTTACAATCTAACACTCTGCTTATGCTTATTTTCTTCGATAACTTTTCTGTATTTACTTTCCATTCTGATGGTATGCAATACAAATTTTCGACTCTCAATTTTACGCACACTAGTATATTGTGCATGTGCACTTACATTCACAAGTAAAACCAACATACCACAGTGTGATAAAAATGTTCTAATATGTACTATCTTAATATATATAAATTATGTGTCACATTGTTTGTCCCCGATGGACTCCTAAACTAATTAACTGACTTTAATCAAATTTGCACACTGTGGGCAGTTTGGTCCAACTTGAGAGATAGGATAGTTTTTTTGCCCATGAGTGACCCACAATTTTTTCTTTTTGCAAATTTAAGGATTTTTAATAGGACATGACAAAAGGTCATCGAAAAGGGCAGAACAACGTCTGTCTAACAAGCTAGTTTACAATAAATTATTTTATTTTTAGAATATAAGGGTGACAACAAGCTCACAGTCCACCTGATGGTGATGAATTGTGTGGCCCATAGACATCTACATCTACACTCGACTATGAATCAAAATACAGATGCATTACCTCCCATGAGGATTAAGATGGCCTGTTTTCCAGTAAACTAGGTCCCCAGCTCTCTACCCTCACTATATGAAACACAGCAACTTTCAGCTGCTATTTTACGCTGGTATTCTGTGAGAGTGTGGTTCTTCCTTGGTCGGGCCGTCCCATTCGTGTTACAACTATACTAGGTCCTAATATAACTACAGCATGGCTCTACTACGTTGAAAAAACTATTTTACATACAATTCATGGAAACTTTAATCACACATTTATTTGTTTGGTTGGTTTAATGAATTTTCATAGGCACTATATAAGTGAAAAATATTAGTATTAAATATGTTTTATCACATTATCAACAAAATAACTACTGCATTTACAAGGTAACAAGCAGTATTAGATAGATTAAGGTTTGAAAATGCAGTTATTTTTTTATTTTATTACAAACAAATAACAAGGTTCCAAGAAAATGAAAATTCTAAACTAAGCACAACATGCTCTTCAGCATATTAAAGATTTTTTTTTTGGGAGAATAAGTGAGAGCCCGACCAAACTCCCGATAACACACAAAGAATATTTATATATTTTTTTCACATTTTTAGAGACATTACAATAATTAATGTGATGAGCAAAGGTTAACTCCCAAAAATTTTACATTCTCTCTAATTGGGATAAGTTCATCAAGTTATAGAGAATGTTGATTTCAGGGATTGTTTATGGCAAGAGAAGATAACATCACTGCTTTTGGGAACAGACAAAGATAAATCAGGATTAGTTAACCAATCCTATAAATAATATATTGATAAATTGAAGCGGAAACAAGCTGCAAGGAGGTCCTGTATACCACTCTAACCTTACATTCACGACAACTTGACTTGAATGGTCTAAGACTACAACTCATCCTCATGTTATTATTATAGAAGCAAGCGAACCACCTTCTTACTCTAAATAATAAATAAAAATGTTTGCGCACGAAAGACGGCGAACTGAAGTCTGCAGAAAAATCTTATGTGGGTTTTATGTTGCACTGTACTTATGAACTGTGTATAATATGTGTTTTAGTTGTTGTAAAAATAGGAAAAAAAATATAAATTTTTGTCTGTCTGTCTGTTCATGCTTATCCTCATTCATCATTGGATTCATTGGAGGATGTTACAGAGTGATTTAACGGAAAGTTCTAAATCATAAATATAGATAAAATAGAGCAAAGGGTTAAGTACTGAGCCTTGTGGAAGACTCCAGTGAATAGTCATATTACGTGTATATTTTAACACATTCTGACATCCCACAACACAGTAACGAACCCCATTTACTCTGTGTACTACAATCACTCTTCATTCTATATCCTTGTCTTGTTTCCATCCCTGCTGAACACACATCTACTTGCTCAACCAACTATCTATAAAGGATAAAAATCCTTAAATCACATGTTTCACTTTTATTTTTAATTTATTAATTTACACCACTCCAAAGCAAAATGTGCAATGAAATAAAAATTAAGTAAAGGAATATTATACCTGGAAGATTCAATTTTATCAGCCTCATGAATTTTATTCACCCACTTTGGAACTGTTCTCATTTTGAAAGGAAACTAGAATTGATTATATATTAAAATATGGAGGAAAAAATAAAGTCCCTACAATCTCAATTTTGGCCCACATTTATAGATTATTCGATTAATGTTTTGGTTGACAACGGCGTTCCCTAAAAATGTAAACAAACGGTTCATAAGGGTTAGCGGCTGTTTTAAATGTCACTTCGACTTGTATTTGGTATTTTAATTTTTCTCGTGAAGTTCGGATATAAATGCATCTTTTATTTGGTTTCAAATTAAAAACTAAACGTAGTGGTTTATTTAGTTCGTAAAAGACAAAAAGAAAAGAAAACAAGTAAAATTTGTTGTTTTGGTCTTTTGTTTTTTTTTCCTTCGATTTCGATATTCGACATGTACGGTTGTTATTTTGCCAGTGTTCATTATTGGAAATTTTCGAAAACTTCCTCAAAATAATATGTTAATGTATCACGATCATTGACTTATACATTACCAGCACGATACATTACAAAGTTTATAGATGTTTTCTAGTTTACTACGACAGCTTAACCCAGCAGACGGCCAATGACGACAGTATCTCAAGTTTTATAGGCATCTTCATAGACAAATATGGAACAAATGGGATGTTAGCACAGGAGCACTTGCTTTGTCGTTTCGTGAACATTATATATTACAGTGGCCAGTATGCTTATGTTTTAATGTGAGAAGTAACAAAGGCGCTTACGGACAAGACGATAAGTGGCGACTGTAACCCTTGGACAAATTCAAGCCATTCTTAGCCAAGACCAATCCAAGACCAGGCCAGTAACCAGTGCTTCCAGATGAAAAATACATACAACCAGAGTCTCTATGCCCTTAATCAGGGTGGTGTATTATAAGAGTAAGGGAGTAAGAGTCCCTAATTAGGCGTCAAAGTGGACCCGGTCTGCAGTGCCTTTGCCACGGTGCAGTGCAATAACACTTAGGGCAGTTAGGGTAGACATGTGTCAGTCATGAATGATTCGATCTTTTGAAATGGTACACTTAAAAGTGTTGATTGGTTTATTCATTTGATTTGTTTTTTAATGTTCCGGTACAACCAATCACTAAAACACACAAACAAAACAAAAAAAACACAAACACACAAAAACAATTGACGGAACCTTTTTAACTCGTGATTGATGTGAATTGTGAATGAGTCCTAAATCGACCGAATCCCGAATGATCTGTATGAACAGGCGAATCGAATAAACAATGCAGAGTATCAAGAGTATTTATTATTTAAGTGTTTTTATTATAATATTGTTACCTAAATTAAAAATTATTTTACATTTTATTATATCTATTTGTTACATCTATGAGTTAAAAATATGATTTCGTAGAGTTTACTAAAAATAACACTTTAAAGATTTGATGACAAATTATTTATGTAAATGTGATAATTTTCAACACCTTACATAAGTATAAGATAAAAGTTTAATTTTGCAGCAAATAAATGTTACGATTCTTATTTTTAGACATGTAAATCCTAAATTTTAGTATACTAAATCAAAACAATATTTTCTTTTCACTAAAATTGCTTTGCGTTGAAATAAATAGCGCCATCTACTTCGGTCTATAGTTAAAGATTAAAGTCATCCTCATTTTATCGAAGTCGGACCAAAATTGATGAGACTCTCAAGGTGGTACCCACAATAGATGTTAGATTGCCTAAACACAAAATATTTAATATCGATCAGTAAGATGAAATTCTGTACTCTTAGGAATAAAATTTAAAAATAAACAAATTTATTAAATAAATTAAATATATAATAATATTGAACAAAGTTATCAATCAAAACAAATAAAATCAATTGAATCACTTGAAGTTTTTGTGTTTACCACCTTGAAAGTCAATATATTTTTGTTCGATAAAATTACTTTATTACCTGTAGGATAGTAGTAGATGGCGCTATTACAAAGTCAAATAGGAACATTTTCGATTCCCAATGGATCTCACAGACTCACAAAGTACTAGAGCCCGAAATGAACCATTTTGAAAGACCGATCCGAATGTACCGGTACGCGTGACAAAATGTACTAGAATGATTCGGTCACTACAACTGAATGATTGACACATGTCTAAGTTAGGGTACTTATTCGATGCGCGACTAGGGATTCAAATGATACATCAATTCTTTCAAACATCGATATATCGGTCATAAACATGGTTCTTCATGAGCGATGTTTTATGAACGATGGCTTGCCGTCAAAAGTTACGAAATAACCAACTATTCGAAGGTATAAAATTCTGTAAGTTAAAAGTTGTGAACGATGATTATCAGTAATTTAATGTCACCGAAAAATAAATAGGTATTCGAAAAAAAATGTCATAGTTAGATAACGACTAAATTTTTAAAGTTAGAAGGTTTCATCATCATCATCATTACAGCCCTTCACAAGTCCACTGCAGAATATAGGCCTCCCCCAAGTAATGCCACAAAGCACGGTCCTGAGCCACCTGCATCCATGGACTTCCTGCATGTCTTACCAGGTCGTCACTCCATCTAGTGGGGGGTCGCCCTACACTACGCCTACCGGTACGAGGCTGCCACTCGAGAACCTTTCTTCCCCATCGGTTAGCGGTTCTTCGAGCTATATGGCCGTCCCATTGCCACTTCAGCTTACTAATCCTTTGGGCTACGTCGGTCACTCTAGTTTTACTGCGCATATCCTCATTTCTGAGTCTATCACGCAGAGAAACTCCGAGCATAGGCCCTCTCCATAGCTCGATGAAGCGACCTTGAGCGTCCTCATACGGCCAGCAGTGAAGAACCACGTCTCAGATCCGTATGTCATCACTGGCAAGACGCACTGATTATACACATTAGTTTTCAGAGATTGAGGTATACCTGACGAGAAGATGTGTCGTAATTTCCCGAATGCTGCCCAGCCGAGTTGAATCCGTGATTCCTCTCGGTCGAAGGGGTCGGACTATTTGTCCCAGGTAAACGTCGTCAACAACTTCGAGCATAGTGCTCCCAACAACTACCGGCATATGTGTGACATGGACATTGAACATGATCTTTGTTTTGTCCATGTTCATCTTAAGACCTATCCGTTGGGAGACACCATTGAGGTCATTGAGCATAGTGCTAAGGTCCTCCAGCGATTCTGCCATAAGGACTATATCGTCGGCAAATCGAAGGTGAGTGATGTACTCGCCATTGATGTTAATACCGTATCCTTTCCAGTCCAGTAGCTTGAAAACGTCTTCCAACGCAGCGGTGAAGAGTTTCGGGGATATAACGTCACCTTACACCTCTTTGCAGTTGGATAGGTTTCGTACTCCGGTTCTGTATTCGGATAGCCATCGTAGCCCTACTGTACAAACACTTCAGCATTTCGATATACCGACAGTCAACTTGGCACCGCTGAAGGGACGAAATTTCGACGGAATCAAAGGCTTTCTCATAGTTCACATACGCCAGGTAAAGTGGCAGATTTTACTCTTCGGTCTTCTGTACAGTCTGCTGCAGGGTATGTATGTGGTCTATGGTACTGAAGCCTTTTTGGAAACCGGCTTGTTCGGGAGGCTGAAAGTCGTCGAGTCTGCGTGCAAGACGATTCGTAATGACTCTCGAAAACAGCACTTAGACGCGGCTCAGAAGGGAAATCGGTCTGTAGTCTTAAAGAGAGCATTGTCGCCTTTCTTAAAGAACAAGACCACTGCACTTCTACTCCACGCCTCCGGAGTAGTGCCACCATGGAGGACGGAATTGAAGAGATTCTGAAGGACTTCAAGTACCGGTGTTCCACCCGCTTTCAGAAGCTCCGCTGTAATTCCATCCTCGCCTGGGGCCCTGCCGTTTTTAAGGTACTGGAGAGCCATTCTAATCTCGCTCAGACTGACTTCCGGGATATCATCGGAATAGTGACGGATAAAACTTGATCTTGGATCGTTACTCACACTTGCGTGTGGCTCCAACGATGATGTGTACAGCTGCCTTTAGAACCTCTCAATCTCACTCAAAATCTCAGGTGTCCCGGGAGCGATGCTGCCACATTCAGTCTTCAGCTTTGACAGTTGGCTCTTTCTGGCAGACAGATCTCTGGCAAAGACTTTGGAGCCCTGGTTCCGCCCGATCGCTTCCATAATACGAGCAGTATTAAAGTTGCGTAAGTCTCGCCGCATGCATTTGGAGATCTGTCTGTTCAGTTGCCTGTATGCTGTCAAGTCTGTTGACGATTGCAGCCTCATCTCCCGTCTAACAGCCATGAAAGAGTGTGATCGGAGAGTTTTTGTGTTCTTCTGCGGCGGATCTAGCAGAACTTAGCTCCGACCGCATGGACAGTTTCCACGGGCTTGTCATTCATATCGTCCACTGCATTGCAATCTTCTAGTTACTGAAAGCGGTTACTTAACTCGAGCTGAAAAGTTTCGGGATTCTGGATTAGAGCACGAGGGGGGACGGAGCGTTGACTTCATTAGACGAGACCTCTCCAACTTAACGTTTAAGTTCAGTGTGCCTCTAACCATTCGGTGATCGCTGCCGGTTTTCACCCCTGCGATCACTGAGACATCACTGAACAGTTGGCGTCTGGTCGTCATAATGAAGTCAATCTCATTTTTGTCGAACCGTCGGGGCTCGACCAGGTCCATTCCTGTGGGGCCGCTTCTGGAAGAAAGAGTTCATCATAAAGAGTCCCTCTTTCCCCATAAAGTCGGCCAGCTGCTGGCCCCTTCGGTTCCATTGCCCCACTCCAAATTTCCCTAACATGAGCTCACCGTTTTCTCTTGTGCCTAATTTTGCGTTGAAGTCTCCCATCAACAACGTGTAGCGGGTTTTGGAGGAATGCATGGCTCTGGAAATATCCTCATACAAGGTTTATTTAGTAGAAATAACTCAAACCCGAATTTTTTTATTATGAATCAACAAACAGGCGAATGGGCTTTCAGCCGCAAATGAATATAATTGAACTTCAGGAGTGCAATTGTTTCAATCGGTAATTCCATTTTAGTTAAAAAATTGTATTTATTTTTATTGTGATAATTAATTAACATAAGT